CCGGAGTCTGGACCCAGCTCTGTCACTTTCTAGGTGACTGACTTTGGACAAGTCACTTAATCTTTTCAGCCATCAGACTCTGCATCTGAAAGACGGTTACTACTTTTAAGGATGGTTGTGCGAGGGCATTGGTAAAGCACCAAGAACATGCCTGCCACACAGCAGGTGGTCAAGAAATGTTGGCTCCAAAACCAGAGTGAAATTGGGAAACCCAGGGAACTTGCTTTGCTAAATTACTAAACAACAATTACAAAACAGTGACCATAAAAACAGTTTTTTATTGCTTTCAACAATATACTAAAATGACTTTACTAATTTTCTTAACACCCCTAAAGCTATAAAACAGTCAAATAACATAATTATCTCTAATGTGGGACAAAAAGGTAGAGAGTCCTGCCTCTGGGCATAAACTGAAGAATCTTTAGCTCACTAAAGTAAATACAAAGAAAATATAAAAAGTAAACACTAGGTGTAAGAGAGTTTCCAGTGAACTGCTGAGAAATGTGGGCGTATCCAAATGCATGAGGGTTCTTGAAAGCATGCCTTAGGGGAAAGGGCTGAAGAGGGTAGGGATGTTTAATCTGGTAAAGAGAACCCTGGAACCAGGGTTGTTGAAGAATCAAGTTTATTTAAGTACAGAGAGCAAATGAGGTACAACAACAGGTGGATACTCATGGCAGGCAGATTTCAGCTCAAGTTCTAGGAAGCAGGGCTTGGCTTCCTGGAGTCTACCCATGGGATAAGACCCCAGCCATGAGATAAGTGGCAGAGGGAATGAATTCCCACCCTGCCAAGGAGCCCTGGTGGCAACGGGTAAGCGCTCAGCCACTAAAAAGGTCGGCAGTTATAACCTGCCCAGCAGCTCAGTGGAAGAAAAGACCTGGCGATCTGCTCCCGTTAAAGATTTCAGGCTAGGAAACCCTATGGGGCAGATCTACTGTCATACGGGGTCGCTATGAGTCGGAATTGACTCGACGGCACACAACAGCACAATAACAACAACCGGGAAGTCTGACCAACTCTGAGGTCCCTTCCTAACTTTCCAGAAGGGCCGAGGAAGCGAGGACAGGGAGACACTCTGCTCAGAATGAGACTGGGCCTGTATTTTAACAATCATTTTTTGATGGGTGGGGAGAGCTGACATGTAATCACTGGGCAAAGGGGGGGTTAGACATCTCATAGGAAAGGTGACATCTCTGCAAAATGCGTGCAGAGACGCAAGACTCATGGCGCGCTTGCTGACGCGGCTCTCCGACTCCGCGCAGGGGGCTAGCTCCGTCAAAGAAGCTTCTAGACCAGCCCCCAGACCTCCTACAGAGCGGAGTCCCGCTCAGTCGGTGGCCGGGAGGGAAGTCAGGGTCGGCCCGCGATGAAGGACCCAGGAAGGCCAGCCCGGGGGAGGGAAAGACGCGCGAGCCAGGGACGTGGAGCCGGCTCAGGCGATCGCCCGGGGCCCGTTAGGAGAAGCCTCGCCAGCGCCCAAGGTCGCCCGGACCCCCAAGACCTCCGCGGCGGGCGCACTCACCAGCCTGCTGCCTCGCAGCAGCCGAACTGCTGCGCCCACCATGCTTGCAGCAAGCCAGTGCAGCCTCTAACGCCCCTGCAAAGCTCCTCGACTACGTCTTCACGTCGCGTGCCACCCACTCCAGACGCACGCCTCACACACAGCCACAGTAACCCCGCTCTTGGCGTGGCTACGCAACCCCAAGAGAAACAGAAGACCCCGCCTCCTCTTTCGCCCTACGCCCTGCTCACGCGAGACTTGGGAAAGGCAAAGGGGTGGGAAGTGAGCTGAGACCCAACAAACATGGCGGCGGCTGCGACGGTGACGAAGACGGCGGCGGCGGCGGCTGCAGCGGCGCTGAACAAGGCGGTGGGGGTTACTCGGTGCGGATTTCAGGAGGTAGGTAGCAGGCTGTCAACTCGGACAGCGATGACGCTGGTGCGCAGGGCGGTTAAGAAGGAACGGCGGTAGCCAAGAGCCCGGTTCGCGGCGGGCCAGCTGACCGCGCCCGGGACTTCAGCCCCATAGGAGGAGCGGGCGTGGTCCGTCGGTCGGCGGGTCACGACCCGGGACCTTCCTGGACCGAGCGCAGAGGGCTGTGGAGGCTGCGGCCGTGGGAGCCCCGAGGAAAGGGCGCATGAGGTGCTCCTTGTTGGCGCCGTCGGGCAGGGGCTTGGAGGCTCCGGGGTGGGGGACTACTGTCTCTTGCTCTAACAGGTGGTTATGCGGGAGGCGCCTCGAGGTTTGCGTTTTCACGGGGTCCGAGAGGCTGGGGGCCAGCCAGGCGCGGGTCTCCTAGGTGTTGCAGATCCAGTTGAGGTTGCCGCCCCAACGCGGGTCCGGGGCTGCTTGTTGGGAGAAGGAGTTTTAAAACCTCCGACTTTTACCTGATGATCCTGCCCTGATCCGTTTCTACTGCATGTGCACTCTAATTTGGGGAAGATGTCAGGTGTGGGGAGGACTTTGCAGCAAAGAACTATTCAGGTTCATACAGGGTTTAAGTGTCCTGATAAACTGTTTGGAGTGCGAGTGGCCAAGCCGTGCACCTAGGAAGTGCTCGATGACTATGTCGATCTGAACTGACGTTAAAGTGGTTCCAGCTGCCGCTAGGCACATGGATCATTTAGTGTCTCCTTAATGTGCTCTTCGGAACCCGAAAGAGGAGTGACAAACGGGACAAGAAACAAAGGAGCTTTAAATCGTAAGCTATAAGGAAACTCTGTTTAGAAGAAACAGAACTTCTTGAAACCATTTTATTGACGTCCTGCACTAACAATGTCTAAATGCTGTTTTGTTTTGATTTGTGTTAACACAGCTAGAGATTAATATATTCTTGGGAGATTGTTAACAGTGAATGGAGATGTTTGGTGTGTTTTTTCCCTAGGGGTCCAGGGTGTTTCCTAGAAAACCATAAATGTTTTGGATTGTGATAGGGCAGTAAAGATGAGTATCAGATGTACCGTTATTCGTTTTTTTTTTTTTTTTTTTTTAAACCTTGTTCCACAGATGTTTCCCTTTGGGTTAAAACCTACAGGGCTAGTGCATTGTTTTTCTGCAACTATAGCTGTTTTAGCAGTACTAAGCCTGACCCTTTTATAAGTGTACTGTGAATAAATGAAATTAATAATTTAAAATTAGAATGCACAAAAACTAACTCAAAATGGATCAAAGACCTAAATATAAAATCTAAAACAATAAAGATCATGGAAGAAAAAATAGGGACAACACTAGGAACCCTAATACCTGACATAAACAGAATACAAAACATTACCAGCAATGCACAAACAGCAGAAGAGAAACTAGCTAACTGGGAGCTCCTAAAAATCTCCTAAAAATGCTCATC